CTACTACTACTACTACTACTACTACTACTACTACTACTACTACTACTACTACTACTACTACTACTACTACTACTACTTACGCCTGTAGCTCTGGTGAGGCCGATCTCTTGCCCGGGAAGTACTCGGGGTAAGTTTGACTCAACAGGAAGCACAGGTTGTTGTGGGCCCGAGTCAGACGAGAGCCGCAGATACCTCTGTGGTGGCACGGAGAAGATAAGATAAGATAAGATAAGATAAAATACGATGAGATAAGATAAGATAAGGTAAGATACGATAAGGTAAGAAAAAGTAGAATAAGGTACGATAAGATAAGATACGATAGAGACAAGATAAGAGAATAAAAGAAATGAGAAGCTAAGAGAAGATACGATACGATAGAGACAAGATTAGAGAAGAAAAGAAAAGGGAAGCTAAGGGAAGATAAGATGAGATGAGATGTGATAAGATGCGATAAGAGAAAATAAGATAAGATTCGATACGATAAGATGAGATAAGATGAGATAAGATTAGATAAATTAAGATGAAATGAGGTGAGATAAGATAAGATAAGATCAGATCAGATATGCTGGACTGCGGAGTTTCTTTTATGTTTGTTTTAGTGAGAGTTTTACAGCACTTGTAATATAATTAGGCGATATAAGCGCCGAAGATTAGAATTGTTACAAGAGAGTAACAAACAAACACACACACACACACACTCACACAAAATGGAGGGGGGATAAGGACGATAATGTTTAGCAGGAAACAAGGATCAAAGCACACCAGAGCACCCTCCAAGTACTCATAGACTAGGGAGTGGATGGCTCAGATTTGAATCCTAGACTGGGCGTTCTTAAACTCTGGTCATTCTGTGACGTTTTAGATTGTGCCGTTTAAGATACATCTTTATTGTCCAGATCCTGGTACATTGGTTTGGTTTTTACACCATGTAAACACTTACACACACATACCCCCCTCCCTCACAAACATATAAACACACACGCATACGCGTACATGCAAGTACATGTGCACACCCATATACACATACACTCTTCCCTCACACATCCTCTCTTCCAAATACACATGTGCACATAACCTGTCGAGTTTTCAAGGCTCTCAACCCAATTCGCTCGGTCCTATCGGAGACGGACGTCAAAGTGGGAGGTCTTGCCTTTTAAATAATATAATAGTGTTGAATGGGGCGAGAGTTCAACTCATAAACTTACTCTACACTTTATAGACAAAAACACTGGTCAGGTAAGTCACTGATTGAGCCCCAGCCTTGATTTTATTACGTTGAAGGATTTTTAGTCTTTCTACGCGATAGGTTTTTTTGGTGTTCTTTTTAATGAAAAGTTAGATTTGTCTAGGCTTAACACCTTTTGAATCCCTATTATTAGGTTTAATGTCCTTCGTTTCTGTTATGTTGAAAGCTCTTTAATTATTTTATGGGATACTTTTTTGTTGTTAAACAGTTACATTTGTATACCTTTAACGTCTCTAACAACATTATAGCGTTATATCAGCTTGGATGTTGAAGGCTCTTTAGAAATTTCATAGGATAGGTTTTTTTCGACGAAAAAGAAATACAATTGTATAGGTTTAGCTCTTTTTGTAGCAGTATAAGTTATGTCAGAGGCAGACTCAGGGGGGG